CGGAAACCTAGGTTATTCGTGCTGGGGAATCTGTTCATGATGCTAGAAAAAATCCTTAGTGAATACTTTTTTTTTTGAAAGTGCAAAAATTGAGGGTGACCTTATAATTATGAAACGCACTGTGTGCTTTGAAAATGAAGAGCTATCAAATGAGAAAAGGAGGAACATTCATACATCGAGTGTCTCCGAAGTGCGTGATGCCTTCAACATGAAATCCTATCAGCTCATGACCAAATTCGTAATGAGCTTAGAATGAAGAAATCATCTCTGTTTAATGCGTTCTTTTTTGACGAACGCTGGTGTGTGGATCCCAAACTTTTAAAGTCATGCCCTTGATGCCTCCTCATAATATTCTTCCATTCGTAGAAAGAGTGGAAACCCTCACTACACCATACATTTAAGTAGCGGCACTTCGCTGTTAAGCTCTCCGCGTTAATAAGGAGCAAGTGGTACAACTGGTGGTACATTTTAGTTCCCTTTATCAGTCCTTAATGGTTGTTATCAATTTCTGGTATTGGTAAAGGAGTAAGGCAAGGGAAAGGACTCCAAGTATTAGTAATACTTGGAGTCCCTTCCCTTGCCTTCTATGGTCCCCTACCAACAATTATTATCATCTACAACCTAGTTATACCCACAACGCCCACTAAAATAGCGAGATTTTACCGTCAAGGCGTAACTGAACTCCTTTTACGTACATGGATTATCATCGCCTCCTATAAGTTTTTATTAACCCTATCACAGTCCATCTACAAACCTATTACACTCCGTAACAGGAATTGAGCCGCAAGGCCTAATTTTTGATAAGAACCAGTGCTTCCCATCTACTATGGCTCCTTATCCTGTCCTGTCTTTTTTCATCTACACCTGTCGTCTAACCGTGCTTCATGTGAAATACCAGTTCATTTTTTTTGCCGCAAAGGCCTTAGCGGACCCTGTTTCTCTTGCCATTCAAAGTCTTTTACCAACGGTGTTCAGATAGCCTTCCTGCCACCAATTACCTAAATTTCCGTCACGCCCTCAATTCTAACTAAAGCATTGTATCGAAGCTCTACAGATATTAGTAAAAAAGCGTAACCGGATTTAAGGGCTCATGGCTCCTTGCTTCTGTCTCATTAAAGTTTTGATCCCGCTCTTCTGATACCCGCCCGCTAGTTCGATGCCGCTCTATATGAATTTTCGTCTTTCCATACCATTCTCCTCTTCTTTGGCGCTTCACGGTTAGATGGAGTAGAGCTCAGAATTTAAAAAAAGGTAGGCCCATATAAGTGATCATCGTTATCTCCTACCAACAATGTTTGGTATTGGGTGACCTATACCAATCGAGTTGTGAAGACGTACTCTTTGTACCCTCTCCATTTGCCGAAGATTCCATCGTCCTCAAAGATGAAGAGTGAAACCGGGGTCTCTTGTGCTTTATAAGGGACTAGCCATGATCTTCGTCAATAGCGTCCTGTATTGATATGATCACCGTGACAATTTTCCTATCAGTAGACTTCTAAGATCTGTCTGTTACATGGGAAGTCATCATAAACACGAAGTGTACGGTTCAGGGTGGCAATACCAAACGTCACACAAGTTTTGCAAACTTGCCGCTTTCGATAAAGTCAAGTGTCATTTGGAAAGGTTCACACCACCTCTGTTATGCAAGCTGCATTGTACTCATTCCGCCGACTACCGAGAAGGCGGAACGAATATTGGATGGATTTGTCAATTTTCTTGAAAAGACCGCGACTAAACTCAGCGATTATAACGTTCATGAGGAAATAACTTTTTCGGTGTATCTTTTACCTTAAACGGTACAAACATCTCTGAATGCTCAAGATTCGTGTATCTGAGTCGAGTACAACATCATAATGAACGACCCAGCGTTGTAGCTGAGCCTGAGGAAACGAGCTGGAATAAACAAGGGAGTAGCCTGCAGTCTTTCGTGCCTTGAATCGCGTTCAGAGAACGAGCTTTGTACAGGGAAGAAATGCATTTGGTCAACGTCATTCAATGCGCTATGGAAAGGACAATGCTTGGAGTTCTCCGATACACGCAAGTGCAGCGCGCGATCCGGAGTTATAAACGAATGTTCTGCCACGTGTCCCTCAAGGGAAAAGGGCCCACTGGAATATAGTGTTTCGCCTCAGGGAAACGCCTCCTTGGCTAACTTAAGAAAATTAAGTACAACGGGGCTACAGGTGACATGTCTAGGCTAGTTTCATTAGGATTCTTAGATAGGTGCTTTATAAGGTATTTCAGCTCATTAAAAAGGTAATAATGTGAAGCAAAGCGGGTCAGTTGATTGTCAAGCTCGCCGTCAATGGCATGGGTAAAGCGCATCTTGTAATTCTGTGAACAAAAAGAGAAGGCGTTACCGTTTAGAAAATTTATGGTAACCAACATCGTTCATCCGCGTTTTAAATTTGGGAACCTCGAATTTTGCATAGAAATACGAGAGAATTATTTCTTTTTTACTTCATTTCGAGAAGTTTAAGTGGTTCTTCAGCCTATGTGTAAGTGTGAGTAAGTTTACATTTGTCAGTATTTTGCTTTGTCCTCCGGACAATGTCTTCTTTCCGATTTCATCAGCACTTCTTCATTAACTTTTTCCATTTTTACAGTTGGAGACACTGTCTATGAACTCAGTGGATTGTGTACTGATATCAAACTGGAATTCACTTGTTGCATTGCCGTTTTACGTTGAAAATTCTGGATTTAGAGGAACAGTCTACGCAACGGAGCCAGTCGTACAATTCGGACGGTAAGTTTTGAGCTCTTTGATGTTTGAAGTAAAATGAAACTATTGCTAGACGTGCTTTCTTGGCTGATCTCAAATGCACTTTTTAAAATTGCTAAAAGTTTACTGAACGGACTTGCCAAGGTGACCTTATACGAACCCTATTATTCGAACGTAGGAGCCATTGATGTACCACTTTTCCTAGTCGCGGCTTTTAGCAGTGGTAATATTGGTGCTACACGGGCGTAAAACTGTGGGTAGGGACTCATGAGAAACAAACGGGCTTTCCTCCTGAATTCTATCGATTTACATTGATTAGATTGTGATAAAATGTTGTGTTTATCGCGTGTTCTAATGTAATCGAGGGATCCCTTTCCTGGTCAAACTACTCAATTACTATCCTAGTTCACGCGCTCTTCATTTGACTAAGGGTAGCTCTGATCAGTTTTGATCATATGTGGTATTCTAACCCACTTGTCTGGAACTAAAAGATTCTCTCGATGAGGACAGTGACAACCAAACTTCGTTTTGAGTAGAAAGTTGTTAAGTGGTATTCAACGGAGTATTGAGTCAGTGAAGGGAATGCTAGGTGAGGTCCATACCCTAAGCTGTTACGTATAAGACGTTGCGTTCTAACAAATTTTTGATGACGGGGAGAAATAGACGACACGCGTAGCGGGATATGTAATGCCTGTAAGCATGTTAGTATCCCTGCATAGACCCATGGAAGCTTTCCGAAAATTCAAGATCAATACGGGCTACTGCGAGGTTTTCGGCAGATGCTTTCCGTACAACCTAACAACCTATATACTGCTACTTCAGGTTGATGATGACAGAATTGATCGAGTATTTCGAAAGAATTGTTCTTAACGATGTCAATAATAAATGGAAGGACCCTGCAATTTATTCGTAAGTTTCTTTGTGTCTCGAGAGAGACATTTTTATCAACAAAGATTACTCACATATAATTCTTTTTAAGAACGTTTCCAAATGCAATAAATCGGAATCCTCTGGAATGGAAACCCTTTTACTCAAAACCGGTTATGGAGCAAGCCTTGGCCAGAATCACCACAGTTTCCTTCAATCAATCCGTTGTAAGTTTTTTTTTTCAAATAGGCCTGCATTCACTAGATCGGCGTATAAGTTTCTCAAACAGTGTGAGCGCTTTTACTACTTTCATCTGCGGCTCGATTCCGGAAAACATTGTAGTTAGCAAAATACTAAGAATTGAGTAGTACGATTTCCTTCTTTATCCTGCGGATTTAGCTGCACAAAAATTCAGCTTTCGTAGCTTTTTTCAATGTCGGAGTGTGCTATTCAAAACTCGAATCACACATTTTGGTTCATTTCTGAATGGTACAGGACCAGGTCACTTTTTTCCATGGAGATGCAAAGCATTTTGAAAGGTTCTCATTACCGCTTCTGAAAATTAAGCCATTATTTTATGGCAACGTCACATCAGTTGTTCTTCCATCCAGGAGCGTCGAGCGTCAAGCGCTGGCACTCGGCTCTGTTGACGGCGCTGGTAGTCGATCGATTCTGCACAGTTAGGCATATATGTTTTTTGAATGAGTTTCTAGTGGTGTGTATTTTACTTTTGCTCAATTACTAACGCGTTACTTTTACTTGAGAGTACGCTATATATCATATTCCTTTTATATCTTCTTCGTTTCCATTTCTATGCCTACCGGAGAAGACGCTAGCAAAATATACTTCTAATCGCATTTCTTTTTATGAATCGGTTGCAAACGTAGTGCTAATCTCATAGAATAGTGCTGGTAGACGAGAACTGTGTTTGTTTTCTGTTTGAATTAATAACACAATTGAACGACCTCTACATAAGACCCCTTCTATGCTTTCTTGCCACTTCATCACACTTCATCATGTGCCCATCAAGGTTTGAACAATTTTTTTTGCATCGGCTATCATTGATGGAGTGCGCCCGGGTACGAAATAATAAGCCCACCGACATACGCCGACACACCGACACATACAGGCACACGACAACGCACAAACAAACAAACATTCAGACCCTCCTACACAACAAGAGGCGCACTTAGCGATTACATATGCGAAGATGATACTTTACCCATCGAATCATTCATAGTTCTCGCTATTTTTTGGAATTTTTATTCCAAGATCTGCTACACAATGTGTTGCAATCCTTTGAATATTGATCGAGACATCTCTTACAGTTTTCACTGCGCTTCATTTCTACGTTTAGGAATTGGAAGGTGGCGTTTCGGTTATTGCCTGTCCCAGTGGCTACTCCATTGGATCTTCAAATTGGGTTTTCAAAACGGAATATGAGCGGGTACTACAGACATCTTCAACTATTATTCAACTATTCCTTCACTTGACATTCAGGGCACTTTCGATCATAGATTTTTCTTAGCTTTTAGGTTTGCGTTCGTTATCATGACCCTTTTTAGATAGGATATCTCGCATCTTCATCGATTCGTTCAACGCATTCGCGGCCGGTTGAATGGGAGAAACTTCAAGATTGCGACGCCCTGATTTTGACATCTCTGAGCAGAACCCCAGACTTCAGTTCTGAGGTAAATAACTTCTCAATCCCTCATACCGCCGCCTGACAGCGGAAAACACAGTTATAAGGAGTCGGTACAACAGTAGCCGCAAAATCTCTAAATTTATTTAGGGAGCAATAATTGAAGTAGCTCAAACTGTTGTGGATACGTTGAAGAGAGGTGGCAATGTCCTTATGCCAGTAAACCCTGTTGGCTTCGTCTATGATTTGATTGATGTTGTCTCCAGGAGCATAGATAATGCGGTGAGGGTTAAGACTCCTCGTTATTCTTTCCTCCAGTTTACCTATCCGCATTCATTAATCCATGGAGTTTTGTTTTTTTTTTCATTACCTCTGAATTAGATACGCTCATTGCGAACGAGTTCTTATTCAGGGAGGAGCTATTTTGGAAGCACGTATATATTTCATTTCACCTGTTGCGAAAGGTGCTTTAGCCTACTCGAATGTAAATGCTGAATGGCTCGCGGAAACACGCCAAAATGCTGTGTACGTTCCAGAAGAACCATTCTGTCACACTGCGGTTCGTTTTCGTTGCTCGGCATGACCGAAGTCGTTTTCCTTTGTTCATCAGAACCGTTGTGAGGTTTTGTCTCTACAACCTTTGCCCCTTAACCCCATAAGTTGTCTGAAAGCGCATAAGTAGTCGCATCTGTTGAGCTGTGCAGCTTGAACTAGCGATCGTTGAGTACATGAAATCGAGGCCAATGTCTCAATCCATTTCGATCGTAGCTAGTTAATAAACCCTCACTTCATTTTTTGGTTGGAGGTTTAGCTCACATTTTTTTTCTGAGAAACAAGCATGTGCGCTAGTGGTGCGAAAATTCGTGTCACGCCGGGGCCCCTGGTCTGACGCTACTTACATCTCGCTGCACAGCATCGCCATTTTTTATTGTTGAATTGACCCGCTCGCGGAATCGCATATCACAGGCTTGAAACGCTTCTGCAGCTTCCAAAACGGTTATGCAAATTTGGAACAAATGTTTGAGTTTGGCCTTGAACATGCACACGTAGCGTAGAGGCACTCAATATTCTTCGTTTTTTTCAGTTAGTGCGTAATGGTAGGCTCAAATTGTATGACAACATCTATGAGTCTTTTTGCAGAGAGTACAAAACCCCTTGTGTGGTAAGTAGAGCTTGAGTTCAGAATTGGTAATTCATTTTATGACATGTATTTAACGTTTCCAGGTGTTGACTGGTCATCCCTCCCTCCGCATAGGTGACGCGCCACATTTGTTGGAAATGTGGGGAAACGATTCCAGGAATGCTCTGATTATGACGGGTTCTTCGATTGTCATTCCATTTTTAATTCTGAAAAGTAGTCAAGTGTTTCAGTAAGGCATAGTAGTCTCGTCAAAACATTTTTTGAAAATAGGTCCAAAGTAATATTTGGTTTACATGACTCGCTTTGCTCTGAAGTAATGAATCATTTCATAAAATCCGAATTTTCGTGTTGCGAACGTGACTACACGCAAAAGTGTTCTGCGCGATGGTATCAAGCAGAAGAGCTTTCTCTTGAATTGATGATGTAGTCGTGTAATCGCCTCTGGTACTGAAGTGAGAACAACCCTTTCACATTCCCTCGAATACTCCTCATCTCACAATCAGCTGTCTCTTATGTTTTGATGGTTTGATCATGCTGTGGGTAATGGCTGGTTTCTACTTACAATGAGATTCACCAATTTATTTTGATTAAATTGCTGTGAATGTCATCCGTTTGGTCTAGTAGAGATATCTTGTCCCTTTTTACACAACTATGTTGAGTATAGTGTTGCTCTTTTCCACTTTATTTCAGAATCCCCTATTTATTCTTTCAGATCCCGACTTTCCATTGAATGAAGTGTATGCACCCTTCGAAGATCTTGCAATTCGAGCATTCTATTACCCAATCGAAACTCGTCTGGAGTTTTCACAAGTGAATACCGTTCTGCTCCCCGTGGAGCTGAAACCTAAGGTAAACCTTCTCTACATCGAAACCATTAAAATAATATAGCTCGGGATCAAATTCTGGAATTGTTTTTGTGTGTTTTAGATAGATAATATACTGCATTCATTGTCAGCCTTTCCCCTTAGAGTGATGGCAATAAGTGTAGAACTTTTAACGGCATTTGAAATGGAAATGTGTCAGAGGAAGAATCCTCAATCCCGTTCATCGTCACTCCTTTGATGCGTCCTCCGTAGGAATTGTTGACTGGCGTGTTGTAATTTTTCACTGTCTTCTGAGCTCGTTTTTTTCTGGGGAACTTCAACAAAACTAACCAGCGCTCCAAAGTGAGGACAGTATTTTTTGAATGTGAGGACGGTATTCCCTCCAAAGAGGGCCATGGGTAGCTGAGTCGTTCGACCGCCCACTACCGTAAGTGCAGGAAGCTGGCGATGATTTCGAAACACTATCTGGAGTGTTTGGGGTAGAAGGGCAGATCTATTTGATCAGAGTCCGTAAAGGTTTTTTGAACTATTTTTTCCGAAAACTTGAAAAGAAAAGTGCTCCGCAGATAGTCAAAATCGGGCCCAAAATCATTTTGTAAGCGTTTAGGACCCATTTCATGTAATGTAAAGCGAGCACATGCATCAAAGCCCCATGGCTTTTGTCGTAAATTTTCTTTTTCTCGAGTGAATGTGTTGCATAAATAGGGGCGCATTTTTGTGCGGTTAGAAAAATGTCCATCGTATTCAGGTTTTTTTCTCATGGAAAACTTTTACAGAACCTTATCATACCGGAAGCATACTCCTTAGCTCACAATTCAAAGTCTCCTACTCACAATAGAATCGAGTTCCTCGTTCAATACGTAAGTGAAGCTCTTTTATTCATGCGTCATGTATACAGAACCTATCCTTGTAGAATTCAACTACACCTATGAAATATGACGAGCAAATATCGATTTCATTGCCATCAAAGAAAATGAGAAAGAGGAAAATAAAAATAAGCCCTGATGTGAGTTATAATTCAAAAATAATTTTAGCTGCAACTATTTAAGGCTATCACTTGTTAGGTAATCAGACGACTCGAAATCCGCGGCCATTACGCTAATCCTGAGATTGGAATCAGTTCCCTCACGGGTTTTCTCTGTGCTTATGACGGTGCCTATGAGCTTTTCGTGCGTTTACTGCTTTGCTTTTGTTAACCTGGATGTTTTTGCTTGCTTTTCTGCTACAGAAAGTTTCGATTTGTATATTACTTCAGCCTGCTAAGAAGAAAGTTGGTGCATTGCGACCCAAATATGCTGGACAGCTTACAACGGACATGATTTTAAAGGCTCTTCAAAAAGTTTGTCTCTCTCAAACTGTAACTAAATTTTCTTGCATTTCTGCTTTATTCCTAGTCGTTTACGAATTCGTTTAAGCGAAACCTTTCTGGACGTGTTCTTAATCATCCTGATGGTGAACGTAAAATAGTGCGAATAGATTCCATCAACTCAGCAATAACACTGGATGCAGAAGGAATGAGTACCAATATCCAATCACCAAAAGAGCACAGAATGATGCTACTCGATGCTGTAACCTCATATTTACAAATCTTATGTTAATTATCAGTCGAAAATACTATGAAGTCGCATTGGTTCTATCGTTTTTTTCATGTTGCATACATATCACTCTGGATACTAATTTATTGTTTTCGAGTTGTTTTGATATCTGCTCGCACTGACAAAAGCTGGTGCTTGCAGTCCATACCATTCGTTCTTTAGCGATTCCACAGCCATTCCGGTGTGTAACATAGAAGGGATTTTTTGTTTACTCTGCTCAGTTGTTTAAAAAGTTTAAAGGGTCGTGGTTAATCATTTCACGTTTAAGCGATCTCATTAGCAATGAATTTTTATCATATTTTTTGAAATGATATTAAGGGTAAAGTGACCCTGGATATTTCCCTTTATATCGATCAGATCCCACTACGAGCGCAAACGGAGTTGTTTGTCGTGAAGGTTTCTTCAACCGTTCAAAATCTAGCGTTGTATGGGCATTCGATGTTTGGTGCGAAGCTACTGCTGCCGTGTGGACCGCACATTGCAGAACAAGTATCTGCACAGTGTGGTAGGTGACTTGATTTCCGAGCTCCATCGTTATTTCTGTAGGATTGAGTCTTGATACTTGCAATCATAATGATGCAGTTTCAGGCCTCTCTTAATTTCTGTTATATAATTTTGGAAAATTTCAGTCACATGACTTGTTTCCTTCCGTAACTCAGTACGAGTTATTCTCGCCTGACTTCGAGTCGTCGCCTCAGATTGAGGAGTCTGAGCCCGTGAGTGACGATGTGCTTCCAAAAGTGTTGTCTAAAAAGGAAGCCTATGCACACGCTGATGATGTAGCAACGGCTAAGAAGAGTGGATGTGCTCCGACCAAGCGCGCTCTTAGTACGTCAATTACCTGCATTGTCAGTGATGTAGTGTAGATGTAGTACCTAGACCTTCGAATCGGGCGGCGAGCTTGAAATACCATTAAACAAGTGGCTCTTTATTTGCAGGCTCATAGACAGAGCCCATAATTCCATGTCGGGTTTCGAAATTGATATCCTTCCATTTGTACTCCCTCACTTTCTTGTTGGCAACTACGGGCAAATTCGATTTCTTTATGAGACTTAGAATCTGGGACTTGTTTACAGAAGGAATTCACTGTAGAACGTTGTAAACTGCTGAAGTTAATCTGCAATGTTGTCTGTCCTTTAATCGGGGAAACTCAAACTCAAAGCTTCGTGTGCTGTGCATTCTCAAGGAAATTCAAATCTACTGTGATTCTCCTCCTTTCAGCACTTATTCGAGGGTTCCTCCATGGCAGATCTCAGTTGAAAACATCGCTTTCCGATCGATCAGTGACTTTGTTCAATTTTCATTCCACCGATTTTGCTGAAAAACTGGTGCAAGTATGTTACGTTTATTTCTTGCTTCATCGACGACAGGGTTTTTATCGCCATTGCATGTCATGAAACTATGCAGATTATCCGAATCAAGTTGAATGAATGTTTTCAGTCAAATATCGGAAGCCTTGTCCTAGTCGAGAGCGAACACAGTTATGCTAGACAAGCTAAGGTATGAAATCATCTGATATTCATTCAGTTTTCCGTAAGAAGATTACGTCGCCGGCAAGAATGCATCATAATCAGTTTTATACAAGTACAACAATGGCAACAACATAATTAACAAGAAAATGAGAAGGGTGTCTGATCTCTCAAATGTAGGAACACTAATCACCACGAATGTTGTCTCTGTTACAGCCTAACCTGATAAGGACTATTTTTTTCTAGTTTTGAAGAGTAGTTAATTTTAGACAGACCAACTACTAATTTTGATAAGAGACATACTATACATTGTGGTGATCGTTTGATACTACCTTCACATCTTGCGGGGAACCAAGAAAGGTTCCGGTATATAATTACACGATGTTCTGCTGATTTCGTGATGGCGCTAACTGTTCAGCATCACCTTTGTTTACTACTTTAAAGAAAATACTCAATTCTAAACTGACTGAAACCGCATTGGCTGAACACGCACCCGAGTACGTTCACTAGTGTGAATGCAAGTCGAAGCCTTGGCAATTTCAAAAGCACAGTTAACGGTAGTTGTGGAGTACTCAGTTTCAAACGAATTATGGAAGTGACAGTACAGATCAAACAAAAATGGCAAAGAAGACGCGAAAATCGGAGTAAAGGAGAGAAGTTAGAGGGTTAATAGGCTCCAAAAAAGTTGTAAAATTGGGAAGAGAATGTGACGCCAAATGACAAAAGTTGAATGGAAGTGGTATCGGAAGGACTATCCAAGCGTGCGCGCTAATACGTACAGCTGGTTACAGTAAGCTGCCAGCGTTGCAACATGTGTGCCCCGGTGCCAATAGTGCAACCTCTAAGCCTCTACAACGCCGTGGAAGCTCGTCTTGGGCGTGTTCGTCGGCTAAGCCGGTTTTGGGGCTCATATTAGCCTCATCTAGTTCCCTTTTCAACCCGGCACAGCGTCCCTTGTGCTGCCCTTTGGGGTCACAGGCTTATTCATTCAGAAGCGAAAAATTCAGAAGCCATTTCCACGGTGAACTGTACCTTTAAGGAATGAGTAGTCAAGAGTCTAAAATCTCTTTTTATTGCTAACTCGATTAGGCTTTGGTTAGAGATGGTCCATCATGATTAGTGCTAATCCAAGAAGAATCAGTACCTTTTTCTGGGCACCCATTCGGTTAACTTAAGATTCCTGAATATAATGAAGATACTAGCATCGGCTTGCACATGAAATCTCGACATACATTTGGAATTTTGAATTTAGCTCAGAATGGCGGTAAAAAGGGTACTTTCCAAATTAGTAGTGAGTATGAAATTACTATGCTTTTGCGATATTGATTTCATCAAAGAAGTGGTGCAAAAGTAATAATCCAAGTACATATTGCTCCATTAAACTTATCCGAATCGATTCGATTCAGTTGCTGTTGCGTCACTAGGTTTTAGTGGTAGCTTCAGCAAGTCATTGAAGAATAGTCCTTTATGAATTAGGGAGAGATTCGGTAGCCCACTTTCAGTGCTAACTCATATTATGAATGATACTCGCAATAATATACAATGAAAACATCTGTGATGAGGCGCTACTAAAGTGCGCACTCCTTACACGCGAACGTTGTGAGTAGCTCTGCTCGTCATCGGACTGGTTAATCATCATTTCATAGTCAAACGATGCATAAAGTTGTGGAGCTTGTGGCATGGGTGGTGATTGCCGATCGAACACTACTGTCTTTGATCGCTTTGTTTCGTCTCTGAAATCATCAAATTATCTGAACAGCATCTTGAACTCCTAATGTACTTGGTTGACATTAGTTCAGCTATCTTGTACTTGACCGCGAAACAGTTCGACGCACAGTCTACTGCTTTGTTTCGTATATATGGCCTTTCCGCTTGCCGCTCTTGTTCAGTATTTGTTCCCGAGCTACGGAAACCAGCTGTTGTGCTGATATTTGCCAGAATCGTTAAGGAAAATCTTTCTCCATATCTTGTTCCTGGGCACCGGACATGATATCATTCCGGCTTATCATACGAAGCATACTAATGGGTTGCAAGCCTACATAACAAATGCGATAAGGATTGGAAGCTGAGCGGCTTCTCCTCTCTGAAGCCTTTTCTCAGCCTCAGTTTTTTTCAGAAATTTCACGGACTACCTACGATCCCGTTATATCTCGAATCATGAGCCAAATTGGATGGCTTTACTGGTTGTGCAAAAGGCGCAGTTGTTTCAGTGGTTTCCTCCTTCTAGTCTCGTTTCCCTTATCGGCACATCGACGAACCAACAGGCACACTTAGAGAGTTATATGTTATAGGATGACTTGATGCAAACACGGATCTCGGTTTCAAAGTCAATCCGACCTAGAAAAGATTAGGGGGTTATTGATGTTCTTTCTTGCAATCCTTACCGTTTTCTGGGCTAAAAATTGGTTTGAACGATTACCTGCTAATCTGGATTACTTTTTGCTCGTTTCGGGTGAATGAAGAGACTTTATTGAATTTTTTTGAACTTCGCGGTTCAAGATCAGGCCTTCGTTGAGAAATTAGTGAATAGTCATCAGCACGGTGAGAAGTGGATGTCGTCTGCAGACTATTGTGTGGTCGTTGCTGAAATTGTCAGGATCATTAAATAGATTTCCAGTAGATCACTAGGGGTGCAAGGTTGGAAAAAGTGTAGGTTCGTAGTTTCATGTCACATACAGCATTCTGGAATTATTCCTACTTTTTTTGCATTGTAAAAGGTTCTTTAATACGGAACATCTCCACTCTTTTTGGCGTCGGAGATCTTACTGCAATTTGTCCTTGTTCGAGGCTCTGATGACTCTTTGAGTTCTCGTAAGCTCATTAACGTGTGTCAAGCTCCATTGACTTTAGTCTCCCATGGAGGAATTCACTTCAGCACAATTGGTTTCTATACCACATACTCAGCATTCTGACATACTGACGATATTTCGGGCAGTTTCCTCCTCTAGCTTCCAAATTTCCCTCCACACCTCTTCTGTGCTTCAGATATTGCTTCACTTTTTTTTACTAGCTCAAAAAAGCAATTGTGTAATCTCTGTATAGATTCTCAACCTTTTGCGTACATTTACAAGTTTTCTAGTACCTGTAAGGTTGAATTTCGGCTGGCTCCACTAACAATCTTCAAACCTGATGGGAAATCGATTTCTAGGTATTGTTATTGGCAACTCAGTAGTGTAATATTTAAGTATTGAGAACAATCCTGTTTAAAAGCACAGTTCACCATAATTCTGAGGTAGCCCTCTCAAATTGAAAAGAGGAAGTGTTTCTGCAGGAAGGTGCATGAGCGACGAAGAAGGCGTAACAGCTGGCGGATTTTAAAAATGTTATAATTCTAAGAAATAGTAAAAACAGGAGTTCTATAGAATTACCTTGATGGAAGTGCATAGAAAAATTTCCATTCATTTCCATCACCGAAGATATGTTTGGAGGAGATTTCAGTCGTGTGCGCATGAAAGCTATTTGAGTGAGCAAAAAATGCCGATTATTGCCTTTCATGCGTCGAGGTTGCATGCAATCGGAATACAGGGCTACTGCGACTTTCATTTTACCATTTTCTGCTATTGTCTGTTAATCTTTTTTTAAAGAGTGACATACCTAATGTATTCCACAGAACTTACGGTTTAGGCTATGAACACCGAAAAGCCTGTATTAGCCCCCCCTTCCTTGCGTCCATTCTAGACCATTTTCAACAGGATAATAACCCATAAGGCATATTTGAGTGGAGTGGCAGAGATTCTTAGAGGGAAACCTCACGAACCATTTTTTTCAATCCGCAACGGTGTCTTTGAGCAAACGATTCATCAATGGTGGATTCCATGAAAAAGAAAACTGAGACTACACCAGTTGCTGGTTTGGCTAACTTTCAACTAAATGCCCTCCCGCTTCGCAGCCCTGAAATTTAACTCAAAGTATAACTTTCGTGTCAACAAATGCATCATGGAGAGAGAATTTTATAGTTGTGGCAACTTATTTGTACTTTTGCGACACAAGTTGATATACTATCTAACCTATACTACATACTGATCATTGGTGAGCACTGTGTTATTGCTTTTGCTCCTGTTTCTAATGCCTCTCACATTTCTTTTGTGGCAGGGTTGGGCCATGTATTCTTGACAAAGTTAAAAGGAACTTCTAAAACTCCAGCAGAAGGCTGTTGTTAATGGCCGATTACAAATTCTGAATGAGAACTTTTCTCTCTCGTAAGATTCCTTCTTGATAAAAAAAACGAACGAAGGGGCATGATATGCGCTTTGTCATGTATGCATTGGGGGCTTGATGTAATGTCGTTTATCGCAGCGGTCTAGTGTCGACGGAAATTCTGTTTAGGTCATCGCTCGTCATCTACGGGGATGGGTTCCAATTTCTTTTGCAGTCTTAAGAGAGCTGAATGCTTTTCAATCAATAGATTTCTGTTCCGCTACTTTTCCAGTCTACCACCATGCCTTCTACATGGAATAACAAATGAGGAAAAAGCGATAGACGGAAAGGAAGTGCTCATAATTTGAAAGTAATCAGAAAAGGATGTTAACTCACACCGTGAGGCACTTTTACTCGACTACGGCTCGTCAATGTATGAGTGTTTCCCTTTTGGTACACTGTAACGTGACACTGCCATACACCAGCATCCTCATCCACGTGGACTGGACGAATTTCCATGGCGAAATCGCCTGTTAGTTCATCGTAGTCGAAAAAATACCGTCCGTCATTGAGCAGAACGCGAAGGACAGTCTTGCCTTAAATACTTTGAAAACCTTTTTCAGGGAGCAGTGGTGTTGCATGGGAAGGTAAGATGGCAGTGAAAATACGCAGAATGATTGAAACACTACCTGCAACGACGCGTTTGTTGAAAGTTGTCAACCGGTTGAAGATCTTCTTCTCTCCTTTTTCAACTTTGAGCCATATCGTGTTGTTCTGAGTCCATGTAACTTCTATTCGAACCTAGATGCTCAGAATTTGAACCTTCACGCATTGTGTTGGTTGGCGACATACGTTCTCGTTACTGGCATCAGCAACATGTGGACAGTTGAGCGAGAACGACTCGTACTGGTTTGATAGAGTGTTGGTGGTGATGGAAGCTGCTGATTTGTAGGGTGAAGTGTGTCTTTCTGAAAAGATTTTCTTCCAATACCTTTTCATCCATTAATCAACAGTTTTTCAATGCAGACACAGGTTTCTGAATTGCTGTGACCAGCGCGAGCTGATGAAATTCGCTTTCTTGGGTGCTATAATGCTTCCGCAAGCATTNAGACCTCAATTAAGTGTAGGGTGCGCGAAATAGATGTCTATTTGTCTTTTTGTTTATGAGGTAGTTCAATGGAGCTTGAAGAAATTCCCTTACTTGAAGTTGCTCTCTCAGTCGATAGGGATCTATATCGACTTCAAGTGAACCCTGTTCCACACGTAACTGGCCTGCACGACTTAGCAACATTCCCCCATTTTGAAGCCGTTCCATTCTGACTTTCTTACCAACTTCTTATTATTTTTATCGTAGTGCCGTTTAGCTGTGTAGCGTACTCTATGCTCATTGATTCCCTGGTTAACTTCGAGCGAAAATCGTGTGGCCGCTCTTAGAACTGTGGTGAGATAATTTTCGAGATAGGATCTTGTCTCTATTCCGAGTTAATGGTTCCCCTTTGACTGCTGCTTTACTCCATCGTTAAAAGTTGCCCGAGGTTGTGCTCTCTTACTTTCTTCATCGGTTGGTATGCTGTTTTTGAAGAGATTTGTGGCTTCTTTTACGTAGATCAGTTCAGCGGAGACAATTATCGCACTGATGAAGTGAACCTTTTCAGTAAACGTTGAGCAGGAGAGCAAGGAAGCGCTAAAGATTGAATATCAGTTAAGGTCAGCGTTATCTTCAACTTGTTGGCAATTCACCAGTTTTCGGTTGCTGGTTAGTAGTCCCTGAGGATGGCTATGTTGATACGAAGAAAGGGGACAATCTAAGTGTTATTATAGGCTCATGCTGCATGGAAATGTGCCCATTACGCGAGCGCCTCCATCACCCTGGAACATGCCTTTGCTATTCCAACATGCCGACAAATAATAAACTGTTTTGTCTTCCGGAAGGCTTTGAGATTTCCGAAGTAGAAGTTCTTAAGCGAATAAGCTCTACAATTTTTGTGGTAAATGAGATATTATCTAATTTTTGCGAATATTAGTGGTTCACAAGTTATGATTTAAGTCAGCCAATCCTCGGTACTGGTTCTCTGAAAACTTGTCAAGCACCTGACGCATTCCCATTTAGACCTTATTCAGATATGTGTGAGCACATTCACCTCCCTCGTTTGTAGGGAGTACACTGTCCAAGTGCTTCACGACCCTTTATTAATTCTCCTCACCAATTACTCGCAAGACGTATGCTCAATCCCCTTTCCATCCATACAATTGAAGCCAAAGGCATGAGCTCACCACATTTCATGGTCATTTTTCTCCATCATCGAATCTCGCTTGATGCGTAGAGTGCGTGTAATTGGTGAAGGGAATTAATAAAGAGTCGTGAAGCCCTCGGACAGTGTAATTTATCGGAGAAACGCGAATAGTGAGGGCAATTCCAAGATTTGACAGAAGTTATTGTTGCCGTGCGAGCAGTGGACCGAACAATGAAAGACATTGCGTCATGGGTTCTCATAAGAAGGAGTAGAAACAGGGCTTCATTTGAGAGGCTCAATTTTTGTAGATATGCAAATCGTATTCGTGCATAGAATTTCTGAAACAATGAGTTGTTGACTAGAAGGGTTCAAGTGCTCAAGGTAGATTGAAGGTGATCACTTCAACAGCTCCTTTTCTGTAAATGAATAGTGTGGCATCTAAGTGATATCCAAGCTTATCGGCCAAGTCTTATATACACTTGCAGAGCATCTCGTATCGATAGCACAACCTGAGCATTTTCACGGGGCATTGGAAATAGTCAGTTTTATAGAGACAGATCTGTTTGAAAGGGGTACTCTACCCTCGCTTAGTTTATGAAAAGTCTGCTTGCTGGATTGGATAAGTAGTGGATGACGAGAAATGTTTCGGAGATCTCAAAAGAGTGTTCTCTTCGCATTGGCAGGGTTCTTCTAATGAAAAAAAAAACTCAGCGAATGATTTTTTGCTGTATATTTCTTAAAAGTAGGAGGGAGAGTTGGTAGTTATATTTCGAGTTGAGTCGTGATGGACTTGGCGAAAAGTGAATGTTAAATATTAGCCAATCCGATGACAAGGAATAGATCAATCATCCACCTCTTGCATGTCGCGTACGATGATAGTGATGGCTGGCAGTCGGAGAATATTCTTCGACGCTGAACTCGAGAGTCGTAGCAGTGAAATGAGCGAGTAGTACAACGAAGAACCCGTAGATAGGGAAGAGTTGGTGGCTGGAAGCGAGTCGGCTGCGCTTTAGCAGCTCAGCCTGTAATAAAAAGGCGTTGAAGTAACGCGGGAAAGCCCCGCAAAGTGGACGAAACGTGGGAAAGTTGGAGTGGAAACGCTTCGTGATTTGTCCCAATGATTATTGCATAAAAACACAATTTCTTTGGATTCTCTCGGTATTCTAATGGAAGTCATGAATAGAATACGTACCATGGTTTAGTCAAGTGAGTTGCTCAACACGAGGTCACATGGAGAATTGCGTTGTAAGGGGTGGTGCCTTCCTGCAACGTTTTGTTAAAGGCGATTCAAAAATGAGTAAAACTGCGCGAAGTAGTAATGAGTGAAACAGCCTGTTGATAGAGCTAGTAACATTGAAATTATACAAGGTGACTGCATGCTTCTAATGAGAGGCATCGGCTTTCTATGTTAGCATGACGAAAGCAGTTCTTCCGTTTGTTGTTAGTTCTATTATGTGAGCAGTTGGTCTGGAGTGTTTACCAAAATAACGTTTACGAAGGAAAGGAAATTTTGAAGGGTATAAGAAAAGATGAATAACGCCGTAGAATGTTGTAAGAGATGCATTCAGTCCTTAGTATCAGGAGTATGCGCCGCTTCGAACATTGAAAGCAAGAGTGGCACTCCGAGGCCACGCCCACGCCTGCTTGACTGAGATACTTCCGAAGGATGCTTGAGTTGATTGTTAC